GTCTGTTTTCCATACTTGCAAATTATTACAATGTATTACTAGATAACAAAAACATTTCTTACATTCCCCAAGTACAAAAATTACAATAAATCAACTTGTTAGATATATTTTTTGTTGTTATAAACAATGTATTATTACTGTATGAGATAGCTTGCATCATCATTTTCCACAGACAGAATATAAACCTGTTATTTATCATATATTCTAGTATATTATAAATTGACATTTACAACTCTCTAGCTGTTAACATCACTTATATAACAATAGAGAAAGTTGCCAATAATTTTCCCATAAAAATACAATAGTTCTATATTATAACTAAACCATGACATGCAATATTATCATCGTTGAAAACTGACTACGAGTATGAAAGCAGTGAAAAACATTTCACCATTAAAACTTTCTCTGAAAATTAAGCAAATAAATCTTTTTATAAAATTTTCTCTACTTGAACAGTAACTTCATGAAAATCAGATCTGAAACTAAGAATCTTTGTAAAATTATGACATAATATTGTACACACATATCTTTTTATAAAATTTCTCTAAAACGTCAAACAATAAGATCTAAACCTACCAAAGTTCAACGCCTCAACTCAGAAAATGTTCTCTACAGTGTTATCAAAGTATATTTTGCAGCTGATTAACTTATGCTCAAAATTTCATCAAACAGAAAATCATTATAAAATATACACTCACATTTATGCAAAAACAATACAACCGATAGCATAAATCCAGCACTAATTCATTTATATCTAAATTTAGCTCCAGATTAAACGCTCCAATCTGCCTGTAAAAATCAAATAGGGAAACATTGTCAAGTTTCTCTCGCAATCAGGTGATGTTATTGATTTTCAAACTGTGACATTCACAGCCCTGGTTTTTCTCTATGCTTGATTGAGACAGAAACAATATAAAGTAAAAACTGATGCAAATAAATCCATTTTTCCCAGATACCCCGGTTTTCAGGTGTGATAAATAGGGCAGAACTGTTTGTCAGCCAATCATTGCAGTGAAGCTATGCCAGGAGATTATAGACTAAGATTCTACTTAAAACATTTTGAAATATTCATGGACTGTTAAAATTTTGTTATAAATAAAATATGACCCATATTTATAGCAAAATAGTTACTAATACATGTACATGAATAAGCTGAACTACATTGCATCAATTGTACATATATCAAATTGAGATATTGATTGTAAACCTTTTTTAATTAACTTCTTTTGAATGTTTTCCATGTATTTATTGAAATGTCATACATGTAATAAATAATTTTTCTGACAAAATCCTAGCCCGTTATATGCCTCAGATATGCTTTTATTTTTATTTCTCAAAATTCCTCTTTTTTTTTCCTGATAACATGTAATGATGTATATATTTATATATATATAAATTTCCAAAAGTTACATATTGGCAAATTATCTGTCAGAACCATCTTTTGTCTCTGTTGCATTTTACCAATAACTGAATAAATTAGTACAAATATAGTGATTTAGTATTTTGACTTTCATTCAAAATACTACTTTGTTTACATTTTGCTACTTTTATGACAATTTATTTCACATTTAGTGCTACTTTCTTTGGGTCATAAAAATGCAAAACTCTCTAACACAATATTTTTAAAGGTTATGATATTAACATTTTCCCTTTCTCTTTCACTTTCAGCGGAAAAAAACCCCAGGAAAATGAAAACATGGCATGATCAACAGAGCAACACAAAGTTAATGATTTAGTTAGTAATTATGCATCGTTGGATACCCACGGCGGAACCATTTACATTCAATTCATGTTCTGTTACATTTTAATCAACCGTGGGTAATGGCGATGGTAATTAGTATATGGTGTATCGGATAAAACACTTGACTTGAATAATGGCAGCAAACGAAAGGAACTGTTAAAAGATACATCTTGTAATTCTGTGCTACTTTTCTTTATTTTAACTGTTTAATGATAAGAAATCCATTTCATCCAGAGTTAAAATTACTTTAAAAGGCTAAGTATTCAATGTCAAAAATAAATATCAACCAACAAGCAACAGGGAGGTAAATATTCTGTATTCATAATAAATCTGTGAGAAAAACAAGCAAATTCGTTGAATTTATATCCCCCGCCAAGTACTGGTTATTATTAACACAACAACTGAAGACATAAGGCTTTATTTATATATTAATCATGACATAAACAGTAATATTCTTTGAACTTGATAAATATTCAGGGCAATAACAGAGCCATAACTTTGTGTTAAATAGTAAAATCTGGAAATGCCAATGAGATGTATGCATACTACATAACTAATCAAGGGCCATAAATCTGAGTTATAAGTATCTGACTGGAACAAGGCTACTATATGCACATCTCCTCTTAGTATCCTATAAAGTTTCATTGAATTCCAGCCAGTAGTAGCAGAGAAGTAGCGAGGAAACAAATATTTTTCTATATGGATACTGCATAACTAATCAAGGGCCGTAACTCTGAGTTAAAGTGTCTGACCGGAACAAGCCAAGGATATGCGCATCTCCTCTTGGTATTGAAGGTTCCCATAAAGTTTCGTTGAATTCCAGCCAGTAGCTGCAGAGAAGTAGTGTGGAAACGATTTTTACTCTATATGCATACTACATAACTAATCAAGGGCCATAACTCTGAGTTAAAGGGTCTGACCGGAACAAGCCGACGATATGCACATCTCCTGTTGATATTGATGACTCCCATAAAGTTTCGTTGAATTCCAGCCAGTAGTTGCAGAGAACTACTCCAGAAACGATTTTTACTCCATATGCATATTGCATTTATAACTAATCAAGGGCCATTACTCTGAGTTAAAGTGTTTGACCCGAACAAGCCGACGTTATGCGCATCTCCTCTTGGTATTGAAGGTTCCCATAAAGTTTCGTTGAATTCCAGCCAGTAGTTGCAGAGAAGTAGCGCGGAAATCATTTTTACTCCATATGCATACTGCATAACTAATCAAGGGCCATAACTCTGAGTTAAAGTGTCTGACCGGAACAAGCCGACGATATGCGCATCTCCTCTTGGTATTGATGATTCCCATAAAGTTTCGTTGAATTCCAGCCAGTAGTTGCAGAGAAGTAGTGCGGAAACGATTTTTACTCTATATGCATACTACATAACTAATCAAACAGGGCCATAACTCTGAGTTAAAGTGTCTGACAGAACAAGCCGACGATTTTATGCGCATCTCCTCTTGATATTGGATGATTCCCATAAAGTTTCGTTGAATTCCAGCCAGTAGTTGCAGAGAACTACTCCGGAAACGAAATTCGGACGGACGGATGGACGGACGGACAACGCCAAAACTATATCCCCCTCCCGATTCCATTGAAATATTTTTCAATATGGATACTGCATAACTAATCAAGGGCCATAACTCTGAGTTAAAGTGTCTGACCGGAACAGGCTGACGATATGCGCATCTCCTCTTGGTATTGAAGGTTCCCATAAAGTTTCGTTGAATTCCAGCCAGTAGTTGCAGAGAACTACTCCGGAAACGATTTTTACTCCATATGCATACTACATAACTAATCAAGGGCCATAACTCTGAGTTAAAGTGTCTGACCGGAACAAGCCGACGATATGCGCATCTCCTCTTGGTATTGATGATTCCCATAAAGTTTCGTTGAATTCCAGCCAGTAGTTGCAGAGAAGTAGTGCGGAAACGATTTTTACTCTATATGCATACTACATAACTAATCAAGGGCCATAACTCTGAGTTAAAGTGTCTGACTGGAACAAGACGACGATGTGCGCATCTCCTCTTGATATTGATGATTCCCATAAAGTTTCGTTGAATTCCAATTTCGTTCAATTCGTTGAACACTACCAATTAACTATTAAATTTATTTTCGTGATTTTCAAAAATTTACATAAATTTTATTATTTATAAAAAGAATTCAATTTAATAAAAAATCATACACTTGTGCATATTTGGCAACTTCTTTTTACTTGAACAAAAATGACATTTTATATTACAAAAATATGATATTCAAAAAAAAAAATTTCTTTCAAAGGCTACCATTAAAGTATAAAGTTGTAAATGTCATTACATTCAGAATGACTTGGCACAGGATGATAAAACTTGAGTGCACAATGATTTATCACTTTTTTGTCTTCAACTTTGTTGTTACATCTTGCTTGGTCAACTGATTAGATTTATCTTGACCAGTCAAGCTGTAAGACTAAGAATCAGGGTCAGCTCGGCCCTAAAACGTACTTGCCAACTTTTTCAATTTCTGTTTGTTAGTTATAATACCTCTGAATACTTTTATAGTAATTTACTCCTTAAATTTATTATAAACTAATCAATTTATTTCCTAATAGGTTTTTAAAAGAGGGCCGAGTTGACCTGTGCCGAGACACAGGAACTTGAAATTCTATCAATATTAATGATAATATCCAAAATATACCCCCTATACAGTATAAATAAACACAAGGAATGAAACGCCTTTTCCCCACCCCAACATAATTTACGCCGAACAAAACAACAGATCAAAATACTGGTCATTTCGATAAACAATAAATGCATCAAATACCATCGATAACTTTTTAAAATCGCAGGGCTATGTGGGAAAATTATCAACATTTTCTATTTTTTTCCCCGGGTTTAAAATTTGTTGATCCAATGAAATGAAAACTAATTTCCTTTTAACCTAAAAATTAATAGGGTTTTAATTTTTCTTCAAGGAAATTTACGGTACTTAGCTTTTTTATTGTAGATTTTATAAAACTGAAGTTAACATTAAATTGCAACAAGTATTAATCTTTTGAGGGTTTTTTGGAAAAGATTTAATCTTCGTAAAAAATAAAAGATGTCGTAAATTTTTCAAAAAATTTTGGGGCGTTCCACTTCATGAAAATTATCTTTTATGATTATTTTAACATAAAATTTTTTATTATACCGGGTTTTTAAAAAAAAATTTCCCCCGTGGGGGTTTTATTATTATTTAAAAGAGTTAAGAATCCAAACCCTTTTTCCTTCCCAAAAATGTTTCCTAATAAAGTAAATTCCAAAGCTTACGATCAGCGTAATTGGGTGTGTTTGTAATTTACTTCACACGTAGCGCCTCCTATCAAAACATGCAAAGAAAGGGAGAGAACTTCGCAAAAATAATGCAGCGAAAGGTGGTTTTCCGCGGAACGAAGTTACAATTTCTAAGAGTGAAAAAATCTCTATTTGATCTGCTAGAATTATTTGCAGGTCATCCGTTCAATAATGAATTTTTAATACTGTATGTTAAAATTTCACAAATGACAAATAAGTAGCAATAATACAGTAAACATATATCTTTTAACTTGACAACGTTTTTTTCTTTTAAATTTACTGGCCCTACTGTACAGTACTAACTCCAACACATAGATAACCCCAACACGTAATAAATAAAATTATTATAACTTTGTTTTTCAACTAACGAGCACATTGCCACATAGTATTATAAGAGCAGGCCAGAATGTGATGACCTTTTTGCCTGCTGCACAGTAAATGAGCCAATTTTTCAAAAATACATGTAATCTGGAACATACGATACGATTATAGTACATCCCAGATGTAATGCAGGCTTTTTTCAAAAAATATATATTGCATTTCCTTTTTTTTTTGTGTGTGTTTTTACAATGACTTACTATAAAGCAAATGCGCCCAAAATTTGTTTGTGATAGTATTACCCAAAACAAAGATACAGACATTTTTATACCCCTAAAAATATCCAATTTTACATGTAATGTGTTAGCATCTGTTTTTTTTTTGTGTTTTTAGAATTAACACCACTATTATATCTGCTTTAATTTATCACTTAAATTTTTTACATGCACATAGATAATAGTGATATATAATACTTGGTATACACCATCCTGGTTTTTATCGTTATAACAATTTTAGTAAAATCAGACTTTTGTAATGCATCAGTTTTTTTTTTCAAAATTCAGTTGTTAAGCAAACAAGTATACCTTTAAGCAATAACAAATGAAATAGTACTTTATTGTCTCAATCTAATGAAATATGAATTAAAAACATATGTTAAGTGTTTTCAATTCAAATTTTTACCATAGTAGGCATTTTAGTGGTAAAAAAAATTTGTGATGAAAAAACTGTAACATCCGCCCCCTCTCAAAAAATATCCAATTATAAAACAATACTCATAAAAAAACAATGTTTCTGGTGCTTAATGATAGTCTTACAATGAAAATGTTATAAAAAATGCCAATTTCTATGTTTATTGAGAAGAAAAAAAAATACAAAGTAATGTATAAGTTTTTGTTTTTTTCTGGTGTAAAAAAAAAAACATCAGTCCCCGTAACATCCGTCCCCCTATATTGGTGCTTATTAAATCTCACAAAAACTGTAACTGGAATGGGAATTTTACACTACAAAACACCAAAGTTACAATGAAAAAAATGAAGGGAAATAACATAAATAAAAGCACTGAAAATGATTGTATTTATATAAAAAAAAATTTGTTAACACTAAATCCTTAATTTTGAAAAAAAAATCAGCTTATTTTTTTGCTCTGAAAACAAAAAATTGTTTACTTTGAAATAAAATTTATATGTTATTTTTTAACATCAAGTGGACCTAATGAGTTTTTAAGATAATATTTAAGCTTATATGAATTTTATAACAAATATAATCTTTTGTTATTCTGTGTTTACAAACTAAGGGTACAGAAGGGGACGGATGTTACAGAATTGAACTAAAAATTCTTTTTACAGTAATACGAAACTTATCTTGTTCTTATGATGCATGATAGAGAAGTAGTAAACTGTGCAACTGTATAGGAATGTTTTACACAACAAAATACTATTTAAAAAAAACTAGAAGAAACAAACACAAAATCCATAACAGGATATATAGAAAGAGGTGCAAACAATAGAGATGTTGAAAAAAGTGTCTTTGTGATTAAAAATTGGTCAATTGTTAAAAATATAAATTCTTTAGCCTTAAATAGTTAACAAACCATGTATCCCAGCCCTTTCATAAAACAGTGGGGATATGGCATATCCTAACTCTATACACACCAGAAGGGACTGGCGCTTTATTGGAAGTTAACGAGCTGTATATTGGGAGCTGTGTATATTGTATATTGGGAAGTGTGATATATTACAAAACAGTAGGGGTGCCAATTAAGGGTGATATATATTATGCTTAAAAACAGTGGGAGGGACTACCATATCTGTTTCAAGAATGTCTGTCATTAAGTATTAAAGATGAAGATCAATTAAGTCAAAGGATTTATTGAACTTCAAAATTTTATAGGCTAAATATGTAGTCAATGGAAAATAAACAAATAAAGAAATATAATTCAACACCCTGATTAAAATTTTTAGATTTTTTTCCCCAAAAAACTCAAGCACATTTTCATACAATTTGACCCATTTAATTATTGTTAATAAAGTGAAAGAAACTTGTAAGTAAAGGATATGGTAAGGATTCCTGTAATTAAAAAGTTGGAATAATTGTGAAAATTATTCTGTAAATAAACCCTTCGCAAATTATTTGCACCTATAAATTTTATTGAATTACAAATTAGTTCATTAAGTTAAGCAATTCATGTACAGTGAAATATTTACACAGAGAATTATTAAAAGTTAGAAATAATGAGATTATGATACCGAATCATTATGAAATCTTTGGATAACGCTGCTAACATTCCACATTAATTTACTTAAAATTTCATCAAATCAATAACTTAATTGCAACAATTTAAAATCTTATAATTTTTAATGAAAATTTTTAATTGTGTATAATTTATGCATTTAGTAATGAAAAATTCAAGCTTGCATAATTATGTTTCAATCTGAAAACTTATTTACTTCATACTGTATCATATCTTTTACAAATATAAATCTTATTATTTAACTAAAGTATTTTGTAAATAATTTCATGTATAGAAATGTACCGTTGGTATGACAGTTTCTATTTAATGTTAATGCATTATCAGGAAACAAAGATTCTTTTATTAAATAAGCTATGTTTTTATTTTATTCAAAATATTTCAATGTTCATTCAAATGTAAGATAAATGGAAGAAAACTAAGTCAATGCAACTTTTCATTGTGAAACGCAAATAGTAAGAAACTCCATAATTGTCGGGTATATTTCTACATTTTTCTCATAATTCATTCAATTATTTTACATTTATTGTGCTGTACAAAGCATATACTCTTATAAATTTTATCACTTTAAAATAAAACCAAACAAAAAAAAGTATGAACTATGAGCTTTAAACATCTAGTGTAACATCCGTCCCCCCAAAAATGTAACATCCGCCCCCCTGATACAATTCATTTTTGGGTTATCTGACGAGAAATATACATAAGAAAGTCCTTTAATTTCTACTGTTTTATAAGAAATGTGTTTGCATATTTGATTTAAATATGATTTGGTGTACCTAGCTTTGTTTTATTTCTCTCTGTTTCTAACATGTTTGAACATTTCATTTTGTGTGAAAAATACTGAAAATTTGAAAGCAAATATTTTTATATCTAAGACGAATTTTCTGGATTTTTTTTTGTAACATTAATCGAACACATAATATTTTTATAAAATAAAGAGAAATAATACAATTTTTATTATAAACTGTAAGATATTCAGACTTTTAGTATTTCTTTGTAACATCCGTCCCCTACCCACACAGTCCGCAAGAGATGTAATATTTAGAAACAGGTATCCAAAAAGTTATCCGTTCTTTCCAAAAATATTGTTATAGACACCCTAGGGTACTTAAAAAGAGCAAATATTGTCTTGTATGTTTAACTTTATTTTTTGACTTAGATGCTAACACAATTGGCCCATTTACTGTGCAGCAGGCATTTTGTACATAAACTTTTAGGCAAAAACTGCTTCAAAGCGTTCTTTTTACTAAATTACAATAAGGTACTGCGCATGTATGTAGACTTGTATATTGACCATAGGCCACTGACTTGGGAAAGATTTTTGAAAAATTGTTTAAATATCAACAAAAAAAATAAATAAAACATATAAGATGTAAAAATAAATTATTGATGCCGATTTTCCAGCCATTTTTTACTTAACAATTTAATTGTCGACTTTATCTACTGTTGTGGGGTAAAAAGACCATTTTTTGTATACCTCATCCAGGACCTTAACACATTACTTCATATACACGCCTTTTAACGCCTTTTTCACCCCCCCTTTTTTGTTGTCTCAAATGTTGAAAAAATGCCTTATTTAGGCCCCAAACACTTGTTTTTGTTTGAGAAATGTTGTTAAAAAAAGTGACCTCTTTTTCGGCGCGGTCCCCAACCAAAAGATACATCAGGGGGTTGCCAGAAGGGGGATGTGCCCCCTTCTGTTTGGGGGGTTTGAAGGGGGGCGGAGTCCCCCTCATCGCCAAGAAAATTTTGGACTTGTAAGAGGCTGTAAATGATCCCAGATTGATCATAAGGTAACGTGTAACCAACGCTGAAAAGCATTTGACTCTATCTCAATCCATTGAGAAGTTGCAGCACTTTGAAATCAATTTTGATGGAAAAAATCAACGCAAAATAGTGATTTTTGGCAATTTTGAGATGTCCCCTCGTTGCCATGGTAACAGAAAATTTGAGCCTGAGCATGTTGTTGCAAGGGCAATGGTCCAGTCAACATTTGTGCCAAGTTTGATTAGTGTTGAAGCAGTTTTTATAGTATTATAGCAATTTGAACTTGTAACGGGAGACTTTTCAATGAAAACAGCCATTTTTCACAAAATGCTCATGAAGTAATGGGTTAATGAAAAAAATAAAAAAATCTACAAAACAACAATTTTTCTTCAAATTTATATGACAGGCCATGTTTAAATATGAAAAAACGCGATTTAGGGTAATTTCAAGTATTTTCATCATTTTCTGTTAACCCATTACTTCATATACACGCCTTTTAACGCCTTTTTCACCCCCCCCCTTTTTTGTTGTCTCAAATGATGAAAAAATGCCTTATTTAGGCCCCAAACACTTGTTTTTGTTTGAGAAATGTTGTTAAAAAAAGTGACCTCTTTTTCGGCGCGGTCCCCCAACCAAAAGATACATCAGGGGGTTGCCAGAAGGGGGATGTGCCCCCTTCTGTTTGGGGGGTTTGAAGGGGGGCGGAGTCCCCCTCATCGCCAAGAAAATTTTGGACTTGTA